AGGTTTGGATAATTTCGTATCTGGAAATTTCCAACGACCTCATGATATTTAATAAGACTATTTCACGAATGAAATTATACCCAACAGAATATCAGAATGTTTCAAATATTTATTATTTTAATATGATTCGTCCAACGTCCTCTAATATCTCGTTAGTTCAATCCGGCTATCTCTTTAGTTCAACTGCATTAGCTGATGCATCGTAGCTTATGATTGGTCACTGGAGAGAAGTAGTATGAAAAGTCGGATAGAAAAAGCGACACTTTTCTTGGACAAACACTGCCGTGATTCGATCATATCAGATGTATTGTTAAACGCTTTTGGTGTTAATTTCATGAGTGGAATAGTGGGTATATCCTCAAGTTGCTTCATTGACTCGGAAACGTTCTATGAGAATGCTTTGTATTGGGAAGCTCTATGTTTTCAATTGAGAGAATAACTTTTGCAATAACACCACAAAAAATGGAAAATATATAAACGTTCGTTCGTGCATTTCCTTTTTTGGAGTGCACAAAAACAAAGAGATAGCAATCGCTATCCGCGGTAGCTTTCCGCTCAGTTTCCGTAAGCTCGTGTGAACAGCAACGCGAATTACGGACGAAACCTTCAGTACAAATTTGCTGCGTTCGTTCAGCAGTAGAAATGTTGCTCAATATTGCGAAAAATAGTTGTTAGAATGAATCGATGTATGCGATTCTCATCAACTCACTTCATCCCCACATGGTTAGAGAGGCAACACATTATCGTGTTTTCCTAAATATCGATATTTTTCTTGAATGTATCGGTGAAATATCAAAGAATTTTTTATGATTTATCGAAATGTATCCTGATGTATCAATTGTATTATGATTTTTCGAAAATCGATCATGTTTTTATTTGTAGATAATCGATAAAATGCATTCCAAGTTCAAACCATTCATTAATTGTTTACTTGAAAAATCTCTCTGGAGGCTACTTTGCAACCCTCCTTTCAGCTCGTGTTGCTTATTTTTCACGTTTTGTTACTGTCTCGAATATAAGTTGGTAAATCGAAACATAGATAATTTTGTGAAATAGGCTCCGCGTAGCGGCGTTGAGTATATTCGGTACATTTCAATATCGATATTTGGAACGATATTGCCATCCTTAGTTTTCGCATCTCCCATCCAACGCTGTCACTTCGTCTGGCATCAGTCTAAGAACTTACATCTTCTCTGCTCCACGCTGCTTATTAACCCAAAGGCTCAGCAGCCACACAACGATGAGAGTGTGCTAGACATTCTCCGATTGCAAATGGGTGCTTGGGGCAATAAGAATGAAGAGAAGGATGTCAGACAAACAACGCACTTCCTGGCTTTCACAACTTTACCAATTAATTCGTTTCGCGTGCGCCGGCGAAATCGGTATCAATCCTCAGCAAAGTTAACACTGACATCCTGCACCATCAAGCAATTAACGATGCGATGTGCGGTGCATTTACGAAATGCACTGTGTCTCACTCGTTTTCTGAAGAGCTCCTAGGAACTCAGAGTCTTCGAAGTTCACTGCTTCTGGCCAGACAGTGACGTCCTTTCTCTTTCCTAAACATAGGCCTCCAAGCGCACAGTTGAAATCAGAGGGTGAATTACGGTTTCGATTGTGTAGGGTAGAATTGAGAAACTCGGGTCTAAAATTAAAACCTCCATCGATAGACAGCTTAGGATGCATGTTCACTGCAGAAACAAATTAGTGAATAAGACTTGTTGCCTTTTCTAAGAAGAGATCGGCGAAGATAGTACAGTGTTGTGTTTATGTTAACCCTGGACCTCCCAATACAATCGCTCCGACGATATTTTCAAGAAAGGCTCGTCAATGAACTAGCCTTGAAGAAGGCCATAGCGAGTTAGTCGGAGCGCTTGTAACATTGCAAAGATCTCGAATCAAGAAGATCCCAGATCTACAACACCGGTTCCGAAACACATCCGTGTACATACTTTCTTGAGACAGGAATCGTGATGTGTGCAAACATGTTACTTAGTTGCTTCTTTGTTTGCCCTAGTCTCTTCCCTCTGGGTTTGAGATTAGTAATTTCTCGAAGCAAGATGCGTGAACGATAATAGAGTAACTGGACCCCTCCTAGAATAGTATCTTACATTCCCCAACACAGTCCAGGGTTAATGCATAAAACTATTTTCATAACCAAATCATATGGCATGTATATCACACAAATTTTAATCGTTTTAATAACATTTAATATTATGCACTTTCATTATTGCGTTTTGTAAAATACTTTATTATGCTTTTTTGATGTTATGTTTTATGAAGTAGTCTATTGACTTGTATTGTAGGTCCAAAAATTAGAAATAAATATTTGCATTTTACTTGTTTATTTTCTTAGAAAACATATCAACTCTGCCTCACTCCCTTCACATAATGAACCTGAACTCTTCCAGCAAACTTATGGAGGTGTATTAATGGAAATTAAGCAAAAATTGTTCCTACAAACATATTATTAGTATTATGTGTTTCCTGGTCAAAATCCTTGTCAAAAATAATAGGAAGGAAAGTGCAAAAGATATTCCAACTTTCTTAATCATCAGCCGACGACATTTTCCTTGCATTGAAATAAAATATTTAAAAACACAATTTCACATAAACATATGATATATCCTCCATAACAGGTCGAATAAGATAATAAAACTATAAAATATTTAAAACAATGTCATTACTAAATAAAATGTATCATATATAAGCGTTGCCCGTGACCCAGAAATTTTGAATGGTCACAAAAATCAAGTTATAATGAATGATTCAAATTAATAGTAAATTTTTAAAAAAATAATAGTAATCTGAGGAAAAACGTCTTCACTGCAGTTTTGTGTTTCAAACAGATAATCGCATGCGGCATTGAAAATGACTGATATGCAATTAGCTAATGTTAAGGTAACAAAACTTCTGAGTCTCTCAATTCAGTCAAACCTAAAAAGAAATAACCATATTAATAAACTCTAAATTACGTTCATTATTTTATGCATTAGAATTCTTTTAAATTCATTAGGTCTTCATGCAGCTCGTTGAGTAAATTTTGCGAATCTAGTTCATTCCCGCCTGAGATATGGTATAATATTCTGAGGAAGCGCATCCTATAGTACTCCAACTATTAAATTGCAGGAAAATGTATGAATAATAAGCAAATTCCGTCCATATTATTCGTGCATCCCTCTTTTCATTGAGCTTTATATCAAACCATTTCCTTCCCTATTTATTTACGAATCTGTAGTTTTTGTCGAAACCGACTTACTTAACGGTGGGAACATGTTTTCATGCATTACAGATACGTATAATTACAACATACATCGGTAGTAATCGTATTCATCAGGTGTAGGTATCTCCAGCTCGCTAATAATAGTAATCCGCATGTAATGCATGTATGTTACTTTACAAGACATGGAAATGTGGCCTAGATAGATGACAATTTAAATCGGTACGTACATTCGTTAGTTAACGTTTGAAATGTATAATTTTAAAAATACTAAATGTGGCTCAAACAAGTAATGTACTTCAGCTTCTAGGCCAATGAACCCCATCTCGATTAGGTTTTTCATTCAGTTTCCCTGACGTATTGGGTTAATGCTCAGAAGATTTCTTGTTTTGCTTCTAGACAAAAAAGTAACTTCATTATGCGTACGTTTTGTGGAGCTCTCATTTTGCTAGTTATGGTAGAAATAGAGCCAAGGGTATGGATTGCTATTATGTACGCAGTTCAAGAAATCAAGTCTATAGTTACAAATAAGTTTTCTATTTCCCAAAAGCGATAATGTCTAGCTCCCAAATGTTGCCAACTTCGCTTTGTTGGTACAACTACGAATAGTAAAAGGGTGGAGAAGATATCCTGGAACTTAAGGAATAGTGTGCGGATTGTTCTTCATCCTTAAATGTCAGAAACAATTTTGACAGTTCTTTGGCCGACAAAGGTGGCTCAGGGCACCAACTGATGGCTCTGCAGAGCTTCTGACCAGCAGGTCCTGGCGACAGTGGGATGAATTTTCGTCACAACGTAACATGTGGGCTAGGACGAGTTCATCTGCATGCTGTCCGGAGAAGAATCGTAGTGGCCGGCTGCCCCGATTGATCATTTTCCTTAATTTCTTCGATCAACACCAGGCGAATGCCGGAGCACTATTTAATTTGCAGCTGATATTGAATTGTAAATAAATAATACTACATTTTTCTACCAAAATTATAAAAAAAATATAGGAAAAACAAAATTAGTATGAATTATATCCTGTGGTTGAACAAATTAGCAGTGTTTGTATAAACATAAATATGGTAATAGCTTAAAAAGTACATTACACTTTTTCATAAACGATAAAAAATGTAACACTATAAACTATAAATAGTTTTCGCGAAATAGTATGTTTTAATGTGTTAAGATGTCCGCAACATTAAGAATTTATTGTAGCATCTGAAGCGCACACCGTACTTACGCGACAATACGTAACGTAGAAAAGATACTTCTGCGCCTTAAATCGAAGTGTTCATGTTTAAATCCTAGCCTGGGCAGAACATTTTGCGAGTTGAATACACTCTTGCGGGATTAACTAGCACTTTATTACGGTACCGTTATAAATAAAATGAGACAATATATACTGTTGTAGCACTAGCTTTCTAATAGAACTAAAAAAGTAAATATCATTTTGTTCTGAAAACAAACATTTAAGATGTACAAGAATGAAAACGATGAATTGATATCACTAAAGTGATAAATCCTTTTTTAATGTGTTTGTTCATAAATACGTAAAGAATGATCTGTTCATTTATTACATACAACTCTGCGTTTCTTGATTGCTGAGAAATTAAACTAAGCAGAAAACGCCGTGATGTTGGATTTGTGTCGATAACTTTTGCTTGTAAGAGGTTGTATTTGGAATCAGTACTTGCTTCTGTGGTTACCACAATGTGGAGGGCTCCAATTAAATTTAAAATTCCCTCTCAATACGGTAACTCTCTGCTGATTGGTTGGCTGTACACATGCGCGCGAACGTACACGCGCGGCACCTGCGCGGCACATCACCGGCTAGAATGGACCCCTCCGATGCGATTTAAATTGTGCGCGATTGAGCGGCCGAAAAGTATGGTTATAGTAAGTCTAACCCAACCACGTTCGCGTTGCAGTGGAAGGGTAGTTTTGTACAAATTTTACCAATGCTTTGTGTAATTGTTTTACATCCCTAATGATCCAAATAATTATTACATTTTAGAAATAATTTGTGAAAAGGATCTCTGAATTCAGTGCAGCAAGCAACTCGCACAAACTTCACGTTGATGAAGTTGGTTGAATCCAGGAAAATTTTGAAAGGTATTTGAAATGACACTTCATTGTGGTGATATTAATAATAAACCGATTTACACAATAATGTGTATCAGGCAGGACGTGGATATTTTTGAGGGGTGTCATATGATACATTTTTATTGTCAGATGGCGAACCTTAATAGAAGTGTCCAGGATTCTCCTGCAAGAAGAATAATGGAGCCCGATATTAAACAAGCCGTGTTACTTCTGGACGATGCTTTAAATTCACCTACCAAAAGTACTTTAAGACTGTCGAGGAACACCCCAGGGAAGAGCGGTATATCGAGAAGAAAGAGAGGCAAGTTAAACATGCATTTGAAGTTATTGTGTCATGTTGTATTGTGTGCTTCGTTATGCACCTTCTGACTTCAAGTTCAGTGAGTTGTAATGTATTTTCTTCCAAAGCAGTTTTCACCTTGTGAATCCACTTATACATTTTTTTTTTTTTTTTTTTTTTTTTTTTTTTTTAAATTATTTTATGCTATAATTAAATAGAACACCATTTCATAAATGTTAAGGGGATGTGAACTGAAATCTCCCTCTCTCTCCTCTCTCCACAATACTTTCTGCATATACCACAGAGCGGGACTTTTGTGGAACAAAATAAAATACAGAAACTATTGGTATTTCAGATTCTCTGGTGGAACGCAGCGTAACCCATATAGGAGAGTCGATGCTTAGGTCATCAAGGCTAGTGGATACATCAATGAATTATGATTCTCCAGAGCTTATGGAATTTGGAAATGCCGATGTTTCTGCCTCTTTTGTAGTAGCACGTGAACCATGGAGTAATGGTTTGTTTTATTTGTTTCTTGCAGCTTTTATTCATTGATTGCATTTTTAAAATGTGTATTGTCTCTTTACAATTACTGTATTTGATGCATACATTCATTTCCAGCTTACTATTGTTAACTTTGAATTACATTGCACAAAACTATTATTTGAATTTCATTTTCAGTTGTTGATGAATTGTTTGTGGACTTCCAACAGTCACTGCAGACCCACAAATCTGAACATCAAATTTTTGAAACTGTAAGAGATTTTATTGAAAATTGTTCAAATGTCTTGCAGCTTTTAGCAGACATAGGACACAAAATTTCAGGAAAATCCAAAGTATTGGAGGTGAGAAATACGTGTTATTCAGTTGCATATCAGTGTTGTGCACTCATTTTGGTATGTTTTTTTCAAACTACTGTTTTAATTATCTTCTTGTTTATTTTCAGAAAATGAAATGGCTAATAAATGAGAGGGAAACTTGGCGTTTAATTTATGCATTATATAAAGATCGATTAAGTAACCAGGATGAAATGGAACAAGGTGGTGATAGAACACAGGCCATTACCTCTCATGTTCTTAGTGAAAAAGAAGTTGTTCAAGAATTATACAAGAATGACTGTAGCATAAGAGAGGTATGGGTTTAAAACCTTAATAAACCTGTTTATAATAGAACCTCCATGACTGATTTCTGCCATGGCATGACCAAAAATAACAGAACAGAACAATTACATTCTTAAAAATGATCTCTGTAAGCTGGGAGCTTGCCTAACACAGAAATAGTTTAGTTTTTAGAGACTGTTGAGTGATTATGACCGGACTGAAAAGGAAATTTAATTCGCTCTCGTGCTGAACTTTCATGCTGCTGAAAATTGTTTTCATTTTCACACAGGAATCATTCCTGTATGTGATGCTAACCTTACAATTATCAGCCGTTTCTGCTTGGCAAGATGAACAGAATTCTTGGCCTTAGACACCCGAAGGAAAGCTTGCTTCCTTCAAACCATGACCCCTTCCACATGAAACACTTATGCGCACGAGGAGTGGCCCCTTTCTTGCTACACTTCCACTCGAAACCATCAGACACGTTTTTTTGCTTGGCCAGCCTCATTGGACACTTATACACACCACTCTTAAATCCTGCAGCAATCAAATCATGTTCTTGCACCCATTTAATGACAGCCAAACACCCCCTTCGGTGCCACGCTTAAAAAAAAGCCACCTTTATTCTCACCATAGCACAGACACTTGACACTCAAAAATACAAATCACAAAGAATCTGAAAAATGCAAGAAATGTAACTGTACGACAACAACAACTTAGCTAACCACTTCAACAGCTACCCTGGCACAGAAAATCATGAAGACAAAAACATGATTTACGTGCCACCACATACCATGTTAAGACAAGGTTTTTTCCTAAATATCTCTGACGAAAAATGGGGTATTGCCTAGTCTGGTAGGATTGAAGTTTTACATTGCCATTACATGTTACAAAACTCGTAAATGTTGGCATAATAATAAATTGCAAAGACTCCAAAAATTTCATGCGTATATATCATAATTACATTCGCAGAGTTATTTTGGGTATCTACCACAGATTTATCAGGCAATTCAGACATATTTTAATATACTGGTAAGAGAGATTCTCAAATGAATGATTTGAGATTTTAAAAAACATCACATTTCTTCTTAGGGAGGTTTTATTATAACTCTTGAATTCAAAAAATCCCTGGTATTACAATTGCTGTGAGTAGGAAATGAATGTATTTGAGTGATTAAGTTTCATAAAAATTTGTGAAATCTATTTATCAAGAATTCTTAGTACATTTATACATGAACTTACCCAAGAGTATATAAATGTATTCATTAATATTAACTATTATTTAATCTAATTTTATTTTATTTACCAATCAATTAATTACAAATATTGGTATTTGAAGGTATTGTTTCCAATACTTCACAGAAGTAGGAAAATGTTTTTGAATATATAGTACTCAAAATGGGGGTTACTGTTGCATATGTGCTAGTGAGATAAGCTGCTTGAAGTTCGTTGTTTGGGAAATTAGAATACTAGTAGATAAAGCTTTTTCATGCTCTTGGTATTACATTATAACTCATAATCTCTAACTGGTGCCCTTTAATCTTATTGCAATATCTAACAACTCTTTCTGGTGCTGTTTAATCTTGTCCGCTATTTTTGAGGTGTTTGGTGAAACATTAGCTTTGTTTCACAGAGCCAGTTGGTGGTTGACTGGCTGGAGCAGAATGCTTTGCATTGTGAAGAAGACCAAATACGAGTGCAGCACTATACAGATAAAACTGTTGCATGGGAGAACACTTTGCATCAAATTCAGGTAAGAAATGACCTCCCATTGTAATTAAAAATTTTTGAGAAATAGATACATGCTGTTTTCATTGTTGTAAGGTTTAGTATGTATTAAGTTTGAATCTTCAAGCTGATTCGTAATTAGGTTCTGGTAATTATACTACAGTATATAGTTTGAACAAAGTGAAAATTGGTACAATTTTCAAAGTAGAAGGGAAGAATGTATCTGTCTTATGCTTGAGAATAAAGTCTGAAACTGTTATCTATAAAATCATTATCTGTGGAGTTTAAAGCCTTTATAGGCCTTTGGTACACTATTGAACCACTTTTTTCTATTAGCTTTTGCGGCTGTGTTTCTTGGTGCTAATGAGCACCACATCGCTGTATTGTTCTGTTTTGAAGATACGTAGTATGTGCTGCTACCTTGTGACAGTCAGTAGGAACTAAAACAAACATTGGAAGCAGTTATTTGAATCCAGGTGGTTCATTATTGTACCATGTGCATTTGAGAAGCATTTCATTAGAAATATCAATATACACATACGTTTACAGTAAAAAATATGTATATTTGTATTTGCCATTACAAAATATCTTGAAAATGAACTTGAATGATGTTTCATAGATATATCTTCTCTATCAACAAAAGAAATAGAGAAAAAAATTAAATATCCTGTACTAATAAAAATCTGTTGTAAATTTTCTTCCAATTTAGATAACCCTGCAATGTATTGAGTATTCCAGAATCATCAGAGTTAGAAGATATCTCTACAGCAGTACATAAACAATGCAAGTGGAAAACTGGCAAATAATTTAAAATGCGAATTTTATGAATAAAAATTATGGCTGTTAGGCAGATCTAAATCATAAAAGTCCATTTTAGTTTTACTTTTTGTTCATTATCATTTCTGTGTGGAGCCATATTGTAGATCAAAGCAATCTGTAATAAGCAAACAACGTTTTCTGCCATTCCACAAACTACATTTCTATTTTTTGTTGTTTTTTTTTGTTTTAAATTTGCGATTCTGTAAACATTTCTGTTTATGTAAACATAAAATTACTTGATTAAAAATCAATGTAGAATAAAATCCTTAGAAAATAATAGAAAATTAGAACATAAATAGGTAGAAAATGTGGTTCTATATTGTACCATGATTGCAAGAGTTAGATTGTTTGTTTATTTTTTTTTTTTTTGTAGGTCAATGGTACAAATATGTACCACCCCATTTAAATGGTCAAAAGGACAAATTTAGTCCTTTTTAGGCATGGCCATTGTTTTTTTCTGAAACAACCTTAAGCAAAAATTAATCAAAAACATTATTTGGCAACTTTTTGCCCTATAAAGGGTTAAAGTGCGTTCAAACTAATTTACATGTAATAACACATAAGTACATGAGGTAAACTTATTTAACTGTAAATAATAACTGATTAAAAATAAAATTATATGTACAAATAATACACAAACATTAGAAAATAATGCAAATTAACAAAAAAAAAAAAAAAACAACAACTGATGTTTACTATCAAAATATAAGAAATAAATAGTTACTCAACATAATACCAAGAACGGAGGTGGCCAAGACTCAGTGGAACACATTTCTGTGGCTCTGGATTCGTAATCAGATGGACTGAAAATACTTTGGATGTACGCTCAATATACTCTGAGAGCACCCCTCTATTCTATCTAGTATCCTCAAGTAATTTGAAGTACTTTAGAAAGAGTACACATTGGAGACTGCTGATACTCTGGAAAAGTGTTAATTGGGTTCAGATTCCTAACAAACTTTGCATTTTTATAAATTTTATGATTACTTTTTTGACACAGTGTGATTTTTGTTCTAGAATGAATCCTTAAATATTTCGTACTCAAGCTCTCGACCAGTGTTGAACAAATTGGATCCTGATGCTCCATTACGTGAACGGAAACCCCTACATGACTTGGATATGGTATGATTTGCATTTTTTTTATTTGTTAAAATATTATTGATGTTTTTCCTTTGAGTCTCTATTAATTTATTGCATTTTTGTTGCCAGGAAGATGAAGATAAACTTATTAAAGGAGTTTTTCGGGAAATTAGATACGGACGCTTGGAAGAAGCTCAGAACTTGTGCTTTCATTGTGGTCAACCTTGGCGCGCTGCCACATTAGAAGGATGGCGACTGTTCCATGATCCCAATTATGCAGATCTGAGTAATAGTTCTGGAGAAAAGTTGCCTGTTGAAGGAAATCCTAATAGGTTTGACAATTTTCATAGTAATTTTCTGACATGGACACTTTCTGCTCTATATACTTGAAATTGTATGAGAAATCCCCAGTTGATGTGTTTTTTGCAAAACACATAGTCAATATGAAAAGTGCTGATTAAAAGAAATTATATAGATCAATGATGTCAAAGTCTCTTATGGTGGCAGAGGCAAGCTTCATGGCACCATGGCATGCCACGAACTTCTCAGCGCAACTGGCATTGGGAAAAGAATCTACCAGTAATATCCCTGCTGTTTTCTAACTTGGTTAGATCACATGTAAGAAAGAGGATATGCACAGAAAAAATGAAAGTAAAAATATAAAAATAAAATAACATTAAACATTCTTAAATTTATTTATCTAAAATCTACCTAATCGTGAAAGACCGGATATTCATGCAGTAAAATCATCCAAACGTGCAATAAAAAGATCAAAATTTTACAAAACGATGTTATGTGGCTTAAAAACTGCAGTTAATCCATTTATCAACTTATTTTTATATTTTGGATGTGATATATAAGGTGAATGAAAGATGATATTAGTGTTTCATTATAGTGTATGTTCATATATATTGTTTAAACAAGCCATATATCTGGCTTTACCCTCTCCCCCATCTTATCTCAAGTAAAATTTTTCAAAATGTATATTTTTAATGTAAATACTTAATTTTGTGATTGATTGCATTGGGATTTATTTAGAATGTTTAATTATAAATATTAAGGTAATTTTTGTTACATTCTTTGCGCCAGTATACTATGCTACTTATTGTAGCATTCACGTAACTGCAATAAAATTATTGTGCAAGATTTAGCCGTATTTTAGTATAGAAACATGTTTTTAGCGAGGGGGAAATGTGTGGTATTTGCCAAGTCTCCACCCCCTCTCCCCAACATATATTAGGTGAAATTTGCCTTGCCCCCCTCTCCCCCTAAAGGCCTCATGTAATTTATGGAATGGCCCCCTATGTTTTTGTGATTAAAAGTCACATCAACTTCTAGGTCATTAGCGACCACTATAGCTTGTAACGGTATGGTAAGTGTAAGGATGACACGATATGATGATAGGGGTGAAAGGATGAACACAATACAACCATACCCGAGGCGGGACTCGAATTCATGATCCTTCGATCCAAGATCGCTGCGGCACTACTGCCGTAGCAATCTTGGCCACTGTATTGGCTCTTATGTATGTTTCTAAATTATTTTCTGAGGAATTATTGTATCTTCTATAAACTAATGTTTCAGACAGGATTAACTTTGTTCTACATATACGCTTGTCTGTGTGCCAAGCCTCATTCTGACTCGCATGGGCTCGCTATAAGCAATCAAGCACTGTGTTCATTCTCTCTGATACCATGGAGGGCAATCTCTGTTCCGATTTTGATGAATTTGAAACACAATGCGCTTGCCACTAAGCTTCGTGCTCGAAGATAAGGTCATATGTGACTAGCTCTTGCAGTCTTGTATTGATAAGTTCAGCAAAGACTGACAAAACACGTATATGTGATTGAGAAGATAGACCCTGAACATAGCGTTGGCTGAGAGGCCACAAACCAAGGGTCATGGACCTAGCTTGTGTAACACCTCATATCCCTGCTGAAATAATTCGGAAGTTTTAATTTGACAATAGGCATCATGAAAGGTATAGACGCTAAGTTTGTAGGGCCAGATAATGCAGAATTGATTACATATTAAATGGCTCTCAGGTTTCCTAGACCATCCTAACACAATGAGGGATTTTCATGAAAACTTTTTTAATGAAATAATCTTTAAAAAGGTAAATTTATAACAAATTTATAGTATACAGATTATGCAATAAAACTATGAATCTTGTAAATTTGTCCAGAAAAGTCAAAATGTGCAATTTTCAGGCAGCATTACCTAAATGTGTAATATTGTGAAGTAACCCCGAAAACAAGCAATTTCATGCAAAATAAAACAAGTTCTAAAATAACGTCTGTTTCATGATCCGAATTTCTGCCAAGATTTCATCCTGTTTCAAGTTATCAAAGAAAAGATGCAGTTACAAGGGAATGCAGTCTTTACTAATTATATTTCGTGTGTAATATTCATGTGTATATTAATGGTGACTTCGACTTTAGAGCAATTACTATAAGAATGGGCCGCTTTGACAGCTACTGCTTGGCCATTACTGGCAATAAAACTGCAAGTTAAATTCCCTCTCTCATTTTCTCAGTGCGTTAGTTTAGTTAGCTCATTTGTAAATGGCTTCATCTCTATCTCTTGCAATGTCATTGCCCTGCACAACATTCATTTGATTCCAAACCTGTCAAAGTGGTCCCTTCTTAGAGTAATTGCTCTTTAGTCAAAGTCGCCATTAATATACACATGAATATTACACACGAAATATAATTAGTAAAGACTGCATTCCCTTGTAACTGCATCTTTTCTTTGATAACTTGAAACAGGATGAAATCTTGGCAGAAATTTGAATCATGAAACAGACGTTATTTGCCATTATAGTCCTCTGCACCTACTGTTCTCTTGTGGCGAGGTTATCAACTGCATGGAGGGATGATTTCGATGTGCGAGTGGTGCCATGGACTTCCGCTGTGGACATTGACCTTAACATTACTGATAATGCAGTTTTGAGGTGTGGGGTCCAAAAGGTTCTGCTGCAAAGAGTATCCATGGCTGAAAGTGGGCCATTGACAGTAGCTTCTCATTGATGGAGGGTTGCAAAACATTAGAAGAAAAATGGCTCGCTTTACCTAGGTGATCATGATGATGATAATGTGTCAGTGACACAGATGCCATTCACATTGGTTTGTGCTTGCTGGCGACCTCTGGGGATGAACTGTTCCCATTGATGGTACTGTTTCTATTTTTAAAAAGCATTTTAAAATGAAAAAAAGATATTGTTGGCTAATTTATTAGTAGGCAAAATACAATTCCTTTACCATGATAAAGTTGATTTTGAGCTCTCAATCATAAATTAAGACCGTCAAGTACAAAATAGCATGTAATTGTGTGAACAATCCGTGTCAGAGGAATATAAATAGGACATGGGTTATTTATTTTAAAAAATGGCAATATAAGCGTTTTGATTTTACTATTCAACAGTGGTAAACTACAATTATTAAGCATTTTTAATTTTGACTAATGTTTTTTATGACACCCTATCTGCTGGTGAAGTTTTGAAGTAGACACTCGGTGAATGTTGCATGTAAGTGGTGATAACGTTATTGTTAAAGTATGAGGAACTCTAATGAAGAATCTTTATTTTCTCTTCAGGGACTTATGGAAGCTGATGGCTTGGAATTTGGCAAGTGACACTCGTCTTCCATTATACGCTCGTGCCACACATGCAGTCTTCTGTGGCCATTTGAATGCCCTGGAGGGTGTCTGTGAAACTTGGACAGATCTCCTCTGGGCCTCCCTTAAAGTAATGATTGATGTGAGAGTTGAGAAAGAAATTAGAGCCACTGTACTTCGTTCTTATGTGCCTCTGCCTGATGAGTATTGGCAGAACAAGTAAGTCTGACAAACGCTCAAAAACCTGTTCTCTCCCTTAATCCTTGCTGGACCAAGAGGAAGCACGGAAGCCTCCAATGAACATTTTTACATAATACTTGAATACACTTACTCATATACATGATTTTAGTAACAAGCAGTGTTCTCTGCCATAATTAGTGATAACAGAATTTAGCACTTTAAATTTTTTTAAATTGCATTTTAAAAACATGTCTAACATGTTTAAAAATTAAGATATAGCATTTGTTAGAAAATTATTTTTAAAGGCTCTTTGAGATTAAAAAAAATATTTTCATGCTTTTTTGATTTTCCCATTTGTATCAGGAAATAAGACAAACTAATTTAATATTTCGCTATTTGTGAACTTACAAGTATTTAAAAAAGTAATTTTAAATCCACAGAATCATTTCTGTCTTGTGTAGTACTACAGTCTTCTCAAAGGAGAGGACAAAGATTGCCATGCAGTTTATAAATATTTATTAAGACAACACATTCTTTCAAAAAATCATCTATTTTGTTAAATTAAATCAATTTATTATTTAAATTTTCAAGATCTCAATCAGTGGATAAAACCCATTACAGGATTTATAATTGATGGTACTAACATACTCTAGGGCTTTTCCACATAAAGTGTGAAAAGACTTCTATCTTAAGCTTTTAATATATTTTTTTTAATAATTTCTAAAATTGTGGAACATTAGTTTGCTTCCACTTATTTTCTCTCTTAATTTCATTATTACCTGACTAATATCATGTTTATTAATGTTATAATTACTTTAAATTTACTTTACCCTGCTATGCTCATTAGGTTTCTCAATATTCTACCGTGTTTATCTTGATTTTACTTCGATTTCTACTCATGGATCTCGACATATAATCCGTTACCTTTTATATGTACAGAATTGTGATTCCTGGCAGTTGTGTTAGATAAAGCCTGCTATTGAATTGATGGCAACTATGACTGATTATCAGCCATTTCTTTTCTTTTTCAATAATAATAATTTAACATTTATTCTGATGAAGTACATTTCTATTGAGCTCATTAACAATGTAATTAACTTTTCTTTGTACAATACATAAAGTTCTGTATGGTTTCAATTAAAGTTCGTAAGCTTACTATGATCTTCGCACATTGTGCTGACTTCATCTTCAGACTTGATGTCATCCATAGGATGTCCGCGTTGGTGTCTCTCGTATCATGAATGTGTCTAACAGCAGGAGAAATTTACAAATGTTCTCAGAGTATTCTAAATTATTCAGTTCTTTTATGGGCTTCGATAAATTTCACTAAATTAATTCGCTAGCGCGACTTGCCCCACCTATGCTTTGGATGAAACACCTATGCGCAACTAGCTACTTTCAACCCAACTTGCTAAAAAATTTTTTTTAAATTTAAATCACAAACTACAAAATTCAACTCAAATTAAAGTGATACCATTGACTTCTTAACTTATGCAATTGAAAGCTATCGAAATTAATTATAGTCACCCGCTTCCCAAACATTGAACTATTATTAATCACCAACTTTTCTTGAACAATGACCTTGCTTCCCTTTCTCTGGCACAAGAAACAGTTGAAGGCAAAAGCTTGCAGCAAGCACTGATGACAACATTCCAAACCCATCTTCACTGGCACGAAATATAAACAATTTTCTGGTGAAAACTTCTGTCTGTGATTTTCTCCAAAAAATCTAAAGAAATGTTCAAAGCAAGTGAAGATCCATCACAGGAGATACCTCGAACTCCTGAGAAAGTTGCGGAGGCATATGACTGATTCTCCAGAGATTGGCATTGCATCATAAAATCTAGTGACCGATTTTGTAACTAATACCTCCACTCTGCCAGCATTTCTTCAATCCATCATTGAAGAAAAGTTGCACGAATAATACACAGTCTCAACTGAAATAATACTCATACAATCCCATTTGCTGCATCCTCACTAGTTGATGGCTGGCAAGAGATTGATTATATCAATATTCTTACAGAACCATGACTTCCAATGCCATCTTTACACCTGCATATAGTGTCCTCAGGCCCATGCTCCCCTAATGAGTAGCGTTCTGACATTGAGCATAGAATACTATACCTTGATCGGTTGTCCTAACAACTCGTATTCTTTGGCTCTAAGCATTGCGTATGCATCCATTTACACCATAACTAATAACATTTGATTCTGTGTTTATCCCTACTCAAAATACAAGTGGGTTTTCTGGACTATCACAAAAGATTAAATTAAGTGGGGTAGTAAATCTATATCACTGGCATATGTAGCACATAGCTCATTTAACACTTCAGTACATATATATAATTTGAATTTATAAATAAAGTGTAACTATTAATAACTAGTAATAGGGTAGTATAAAGAACGATGTATCTTGAGTTAATGGTAAGGAAGTGAAAACCTGTTCAGAAATATGAGGACAATGAAAATCATGTTTAATCATTTTCATCAGAAAGACAATCATGGCAAATCACTTTGTAATAGCTGGACTTTGTAAATTAAATTTATTGTTTATTGCGGTAAATGTTATCAATTCTCCTCTGTGGCTATACACCACAATCAAGAAATTCTGAAAATATTTTTAAAATCTTCTTTGACTTTTTTCAAGCGCATTACTAAGATTTTTCATGTCTGGAAACCAGATGTAAGATGCATATTCTAATATTGACCTGACAAGGAGCAAAATAAGATTCGAAAAATTTTCACAGATTTAATTTTTCTTGACAAACTAAGTAAGAAGCCTAATGACTTATTAGCTTTACAAATTCCATATTCAATAAGTGGTTTGAAAGTTAGTTGACAATCAAAGATGACTCTGAGGTCGTTCTTAATACTTAGAGTATTCAGTGTTGTATTGTCTATATAATGTTTAAATTCTATCCTCTAGGATTTATAATATTACATAACTATGCATTTTAAAAACAATTATGTTTAAGTAACGTAAAACATATGAATTAGAACATAAATCTAGATTTTGCTGTAACATTTGACAATCATTAACCAAGGAAATTGAAAGATACAATTTCAAATCATCAGCATATTTTAGAAGAAAACATAAAATTGTCATCAAATTCACGTATAAAACCCTGTTGTAAATATATAACATAATCAGTGGGAAATTAACTGAGAGCATATTTCAATGTTGGCTTCCTTTAACCGGCTCGTATATATTCTGTCTATATCAATTCTGCTATATGGACTGCAAAATCATTCAACTCCTACACTTTTGGAAGTTGACACGAAACTCCCTTACAGCTTCTTGGGTAAAACTGGGAAATTCACTTTGCATTTCCAACAGAATTGCAGTTAACTGTTGCATTTTCTCTAATATTACTCTTATCATAAGCTGATAAAAAGTGTGAACCCTGTCTGTTGAAATACGGAATATGTTTTAAAGCTAAATTTTTTTCAGAGTTCATGGTACTTAGTTGTCCTGTCATGGCTGGATTGAAAAGATAATGGCTTCAAAAAACACCTGTGGGTGTCATTCTCTTTCATTTAATTACAAAGCTTTTCAGGGGTGTTTCAGCATACAATATTTCAACTTTGGTCATAACCTATCCTTAAGTTTTTCGTTTGTGATTCTCACAGGATTAGAATGGCAAGGATATTGCGAAGGGGTTGTGCGATGTTGTGAAGTCTGACCAATGCACCCTTTCACACGGCCCGTATCTTTCGATCGAGAGATGCCTCCCATGCCCTCCACCCTCATCCCCAAGAGGTGATCCCAGTGAGAGGTGAGCAATGCGTGCATTGTAGGCATAGGGCCTTCCTCTTCTTCCCGTTACCTTCTCCATTCAGCAAACTGCGGAAGCTGAGACCCCTTGAGGTTTGAGGAGCGCTCAGGCTTTCAGGATCAATTTTTTAGTTTGGGTTTAAGTTAAATATTAATTTTTAGTTAATGAACACTGCCACTGTCAAATTAAATATTTTCAAACATCACTTTGTTGTTGTCGATGTCAGATTCATGGTTAGAGAGCAAACACAATGGAAACCAAAGGAAGAAAATGCAATTTAGCAGTTACCATATTGTAAATTTACAACCATTTTGCACTTTGAATGGGATTTCACATTTTGCAATCAATTTCACAATTTATCGCCGATTAAAAAGCTTTGATACATTATCATTTGAGAACATTTCGCATTTTTAACAAATTGCTAAACAAATACCATCCCTACCCATAATATTTAAATAATTCAATTATTTTCATATATTAATTTGTTTAAAGTCCAATTGTTTCAAAGTGAAATAATGAGTTGTATATTGTCTAATTTAATCCCTATCAATTTCTAAACGATATTTTATTTTCACTGGATGGCTGGTAGATTTTATCAGTAATTCTCTCATTATTGTAATGTTACCATTTGCTGTAATTAGACTACTACTGTTGTTTGATAGCTCATGAGCGCAAGCAACAATGCCTTCACAGAAAATCTCATACCTTAAACCTGCTAGATTTTAATGGATTCCAAAACAAATTCATTTCCTATGTCAGAAGGAAAATGAAAGATGCGAATAGATGAGGGCATGCATAGTTAGGATACTGGCTAAAATGCATTTGAAAATACAGTTTGCACAGAGAGTGGTTTTGTGTTAATCATGGAGATTGAAGCCTCATTGCTAATTGGGAATAACAGCAAAGTATCAACTGGTCCATAAAAGGATTTGTTTGTTGATGCTATTTTGTATATATGTAGTGAGCCCTGTCATTCATGAGCTTGCATTGTGGATCTCAAGATGTTGGGAGTTGATTCCTTCCCATAGTTTATCAAAAGCGATTATAGCCTTTCTTTGACTTCCCAGAATATGAACTGTGCACCACAGTGAAATATGGTTGTTGGTGTGTATGTCCTTTTTCACTGTGGTATCTTAGGAGTGAGGATAATTCTGAAAAGGAAAAACATTGTGACTCGGGGCAAACCAAACTTATAACATTTTTTTAAGGTGTGGAAGAAATTTGTCAATTTTACTAAAAATTTGCAGAAAAAGAGACTTCTTGAATAATTCAAAATGATGCCCTGTGATTTCATAAACATCCCAACATCCACTTAATACACCACTCAAAAGTCAGCTTTAAGTTACAACATTCAAAATTTCTGTGACTTGTATTCTAATGTGTGTCTTTGGCAAGGATTTCAAAAATTCTGGCTTGGAAAATAATTCTTAATAATATTTAGTTTTTTCTCTCTCCCGAAAAGAATTTATTTTGGGACTGGGAGTTTTTTTAAATCATAATTTCAAAAGTTAATTGTGTACTTTTGTAATAACAGAATCCAATTTTCTGACTGCGAGTTACATTTCATAGTTGATTCAATTTTGTGATGTTTTCTGAGATTGTTTTCTTTATGTGTAGGTTGACTTTGCCAGAAATATTTACTAAAATTGCTGCTAGTAAAAAGGCTGCAATATCAGAGGGAGCAGCCAATCCTGATCACATTGTGCAGACTTGTATTATACTGAATGACATTCCACATTTAATGGCTAAGATGTTGGAGTGGGTACCCAGTGCTGATGCTCAATTTTTACGGTTCATGGCTCATTTGGTATTGTTTTACCGCTCATGTGGCTTTGCTGAAATTGATGAGGTTGGAGATTCCATTTTGGAAGCTTATGTGAAGGTAATTACATTGTTCCACAAGTGTATTATTATTTCTTTTTTTATACTGTATTCCTTCTCTTCTTCGCGTTTCTTCTTGTTTCACTCTCTTGTATTAGAGCATAAAAACTACCTCTTTCTTTATTTTAAATTTTTCTGAAACATTTCTGTTTTGTTTTGAATTTCTACAAAACATTATTTTTTGTTCTGATGCTCATGGCCTTCAAAGTATAGTAAGCCTGCTCATTTTGTTTGATAAAAAATATTGTGAGGCTTGCTTAAAATGTTGTGTTTTTTATAATTTGTTTACAAAGTTCAGAGAATGGTTTGTATGAATCTTTGTAAGGTTTCATGCAAACTGTTATATCTAGTTCATAAACACCTTTTCAAGTAGAGGTATTTGTTGTTTTAAGGCTCGCAACCATCCCTGGTGCAAAATCTCAAATTGTTTTCTGTTTTTAGATATTGATAAAAGTACCTTTCTACGAGTCCGAACAACACACTAACTTCTGACATTCTGATGGACAATACATATGATATTTTGATCATGTTTACCTCTAGCCCACACAAACTTAAATTTTTGTCAGCTTTCAGAACCTTGCTTGTTAAAGTGTAATCTATATTTTGGATGGATAACTAATTAGTCAATTTGTGTTATTTGCGTGAATGTCCTGAAATTCTAAGGTTTATGTAATGAATAACAGGTGCTGATGAAGAAGGGGGACCCCCAACTTGTTGCTTGCTACGTTGCCACTCTCCCTCAGGAAGACCAGGTGCAACTGTACGCCAACTTCTTGGAGAATATCACTGAGGAGAATGAACGGACAGCCTGCCTCACTGCAGCTGAGGATGCTGGCTTGGATATTGAAGTGATTACAAAGAGAGTTGTCGAAAACATACGGTAAGTTATGTTTCATATGATGAAGATCAACATTAAACATATTTATCCATGCAATTGATGTTTGCTGTCTGCTGAGAGATTTTTGCTGCAATTGAAATGAAATGAAAAGAAATGAACTGTCATAAAAATGCAGTTCACTTTGGAATGATGTAGAATTAACAGTTTGGATTTCAATTGGATGTATTGAAAAGTCAATTATATATACTTAATTGTATTTGAAAATAAAAATTTACTTTTTTGTTACCACTTGAATAGTTGTTAAAAAAAATATTTTGAGTCAGAACCATATTGAATATTATGTATATAAAACAGAATATTTACCTTGCTATATTTTTATTAATTTCTCTTATTGGTGTAGAAATCGAGAAAATGTTGATCAGCCGTCAGATATTCAAATTGAAGCTACACCTGAAGATTTGATTAAGGTGTCTGCCCTGAATTGGCTTATTTTCTATCCATCCCAGCGTGCAGAGGCCTTATTTCAAGCAAATGCTATGATAAGGCAGTTTCTTGCTCTTGGTCGAATGGAAGCAGCTCGGAAAGCTTTTAGTAAGGTAAGTTTCAGTATTTCTGAGCAGTGGAGTGAAAGGATATTGTTTGAATAAAAATATCTTTTGTTTGGACTCTGTCTAATGGGAATTTTTGAACAAAATTTGCAGATTCCAGTCGATTCCATTGACATTACTGTTCAAGAGTTCCAACGAGGTATGCCATATGAGGCCTGTCAACAATTTGATATGGATAGTCTTCCATATAGAATTGCGTCTTCCATACGAGAGTACTTCTGTCATAAGGCTTACCTGGTAAGTTTAAGTTTGTGGACAAAAATATATGTGATGAGTTTTTTCGTAATTCCTACAATTTCTATTCTTTTCAGGATGCCCAAGAGGGTTTCTCTGATTGGTTTCATCACTTCCACAATGCAAAGCCCATTCCTCCTGCTGAGCCTGCGGGTGAAGTGGGGTTTACAGAGAAGGTTTTGTTTGATCACAAAAGAACTCAATACAACATGGAACTAGAACGTTGGAAGTTATCCATGCAGCAACAAACAAAAGTAAGTGGGAAAGCTTTTCCTTACACACTTTGAACTGAAGAGGAGAGAGCTAGTCTGTGTGAAGTTCAAAGAATATCTTGAAAACAGAATTGGTGGTTACCTTTGAAATATTTCCATTTGTAGCCATTTATATTCTGTTTTTTATCAGGATGAAATAAATAAACTGCCTTGTTGGAAAAAACTTACTTTTTACTTTCTCGTGCTTGAGAAAGCTATGTAATGCTGCAGGAAGAAACAGTGAATTATTTAAAGAAAAACTCTTATTACAGGGTCCTGGTAACGCAACAGTGGATAAATCCAGTTTCTAAATTTAGAGAAAAAATCCTCTAACACGTGGTGTAGCCAGAATCCCTGTTTTGGGGGGCCTTGGTACCGAAAAATCTTTTGACGGCAAAATGTATGTCTGTGTACAATGCTAGCAGCCAAACCGATCAGCCGATTACATTAGTGTAAGAAAATGTTGCAGATTTAATGTTGGTTGAAAACTAATTTTTTGAAAATTGAAAAAATTCAAAATTTTTTGGCACCTTCCTACAACTACAAATATGAAGAAAAAATTGTTTTATTTAATGAAATGTGTTTATCAAAAACAGGTTTTCAAATAATGTCATGTTCATTTTTTGAAAATGAGTATTTTTGGAGTAACTGGGTGTAATTGTAAAGTTAGTCGCCCGCTCTGAAAATCCTGAACTTAAAGTGCAATTAGTCAAGTTTTTTTAGCGACCTCAATAATAAAGATTGGATGAATTGCAAAACTCATCTGTACTACTGAAAGATAGTAGGAGAGGACATGGAGAATATCCTTAATTAGAATGCAAAGAGAATAAAATAATATTTGGCTTGAATAAGCTTGACAATTTAATAGTAGTACAATGTACAACAATGGATTCGAGATCCTTTGAGAAATAATAAAAATTCAATAATTAATAAAAACAGGAATCTGAAAATACACAAAAGTATAGAGGTATTTATCACCAAAAAAATTAAATGCAATATTTATTACAATAGAATAGGTAGAACAATTACGACTTTGGCAGAGACGTGGAAACAGAACTGAAACTCTACAATATAGCTGCTAAACCTAGACCCATGTATGGCTCTGAAACATTGGTAATGAAAGATGCCAGTTTGTGAACATACAAAAACTACAGGCAGCACATATGTGATATTATGATACCTTATGGATCATACAGATCAGACAAAAGAGAGAGAAATATACATCAGAAAGAAATTGAAAACCAAATGTTAAGTAGAAGAGATAGAACAGTCTCAAAGGAGAGGAATCAGAGATAGAGGCAGATCACTAATAGCAGGAACACGTGGAGGATAAATAATCTACCAAGAATACTGTAATAAACCAATGGAAACATGCTGTAAAGCCTAGTTTCTGGTCAGTTCATGATGATGATGATGAAATCAACTAATGGAAAACTAAAGACTAGGGATGCCTTCCAAAAAACCTTCAATTTTCTTTCTGGGTGCTCAAGGCCCAAGGTGGGGGGTGCATTGGTCCATCTAGGGTCAATTGTCGACAAGGTTGGTGTGGTGAGAAAAAAAAATAACAAGGAAACTGTTTATCAAGTCAAATGAAAGCATATGCTTGCTTATCCAGTCAATAGATATTGGCTATCCAGGAGACTGTGTCCTCTGTGCTGATGCAAATATTTTGGCTATTATACTGCTACCTTCTAAAGCATCTTGCCCTGAGGAAGGTCACAATATGACTGAATTGTTAGCAACTAGGACACCATGTCTCCCAGACAGCCAAATAGTTATTGCTTATCAAAGTCAATTTGTCGGGAGGTAACAAAATAGGTTCAAAGTATTTTATAATGAAGAACATATTGAAATTTAAAAAGTTCTTAAATTTAGTATGAAATGAATTATGTTTTGTTCTATTCCTTCTAATGAATTTTTAATATGGGAGTTTGATTTTGTTCCATAATTTTTGTCATATTACTCCTAGTTGATAATAATTTCAGAATAACAGTGTACAATATTTCCTACAAAAAGATCGGTTAAATTCTAATAAATTGTTGAAAATCTTACCAAAGAGGAGTTCATGGTATTATTTATTTATTTGTTTGTCATTTCAGATGGTAAAAATTCAACTTCATAATGTTCTTCTGTTTCCTGATGGAGGGTGGTTAGTTGATATCCATTCAAAAGATGGTCCCTTGGAAGAAGAATTTGATGATGAAGCCAAATGTAGATTACAGCAAATGGAAAATTTGAGGAAAATTTGTATACCGAAGGTAATGATGATTAGTCTGTATTTTTAGTCAGCATCATTCATGTTTGCCTTACTGCTAAAACAAAACAATGCTTAGTGCCTTCTTAGCATGATGCTTTTAGTGTATTACAGAATCCTGAAGTTTCAAAATGCGCTTTATGTGGCAGTAATCCTGCAGTACACAGGTGCAGAAATTATGTTAATTATTGTCTTGACTACATTTTTATTGGTCCAATTGCGATTATTCCATTATTTATTATCTTCCGAGTGTCTTCGAGTTTTTGACTGTCAATTGTGATTAGTTAATTCCTTTAACTTATTAATTTATTTTTAAATCACATAGCCTGCGTATTGCATTTGCATTTGTATTTGTAAGAACTTAGAGAGAGAATAAGATTCATGAGGATAGATACTAAAGTAGTTTAAATTTAAATATTTAAATTATTTGTAAAATTGCATTCTTCATATCAAAAAGAAAGTGGAAAGAAATGAAATTATAAAGGAGTTCTCATAAATGAATATCTTCAACATTAAGGAAATTAAAAATCATTTGACAATAATTAATTGTATACAGGGCTGTTAAAAATCATTTTAAAAAAATAATTAAAAGAAATTGAATCTTTAAAATTTGTATCAGATTTTTTTGTCTACTGATTATCTTCAGTATTTTATTAAACTAAAAAAATACAATGTTATTGGTTTCAAAATTAATAACTGTAATTTGAATATAGAAAATAAGTAATTTCATTCAAAAAATATTTAAAAATTCAAGTCTTGTGCAATGGGAAAGTTCACTTACAGTTAGTGCTCATACACTGTACAGTATACCAAATTAGGACTTGTTTGAAATTATTTGGTCAGCCTAATTATGTCCAACACTAATTTTTTTTGTTTCCAAATCAAATCATTTTGCATTTGGGAGTTCTAAATAGCATATAGGATGGATTGCCAAGGATCTGTTGCAAGTTAAAATAAAGACCCTTTATATTTATATACTTCTTTGCCCTTGACTAATATGTTCTCATGTTCTTAATATATCTATTATTTTTTCTTTGAAGATTGTGTTACTCCTGATCAGCATGATGCAAAGTATGGGGGACCATGCAGAATGCATTCAGTTAGCAGAAACTATTGTGTCAGAGCAACATCAGATTTATAAGGTGCATAATGGTTTTTGTTGTGAAATATGTGGCAGTGTTGGCAGTGGCATGTTTTATTTAACATGAGACGTATGTTTACAGGTTTACACCCCACAAAAGATGCGAGAATTACTGAAAAAGATTGCAGAATCTTCACTTGAATTAATGAAAAACAAACGAGATCCTTGGGGTCACCCCATTACATTTTAATTTCCTTTTTTTTTTAAGGAAGTGGATATTTGTTTTGTTGTGACATTTTATGTCTTTGAATTAAAATCATGTGAAGAAAGTTGTAGAATGATTGAAAAGTTGATTAGTTTTTTAAAATATATTCTTTTTGTACATTTTGAAAACATGAATTTTGATGAATAATTTTCCTGTCCACAATTCCTACAAAACGGATTTTCATGTAAATACATATTTTTACGTGTTCAAGATACTTGCATTTAGTTATTTCATAAAATATACACATAATTTTGAATTAATTAAAATCATATTTATTTTACATTCATGTTATAGTGAAAGTACTATAATGTGGCAGCAAAAAACATATATTTTTTGGCAGAAAGTTTCAAAAAAGATCTTAAATAAAGATGTAAGTGACGATGTTCCCTTCGAATATCTCCTGATCCACTGCAGAGATTGAGATGTGATTTTTACGGGAACAGATGATGTATAATATTAAATCATAGCTTTTTGATTTTCTCGCCCTTACAAATGTAAGAAGAGAGAGAATCGTCATTGTGCACATGAAAACAGCGAATTTTTGACAGAAAGTCTGCAATTGTCGTGCCCTGATAAAAGGAGTTAAATCCTGTTCCTATAGATAGAAAATTACTCCCTCTAACATGTGGGGTAGTAAGAATCCATTTTGTATCCATCCTTGATACCTAAAAATCAATTGACGGTGAAAAGGATGGTCTGTATGTGGGCAGTACTAGCACCTAAACCGTTTCTCCAAAATTGATATTCTGTGATCGATTTGAAGGAAACCGTGGCTTTGGGAGTTCCAAGTGGATATTTTGATTTTTGAGGGGTACTTTGCATAAAGCCTCAAAAACCTTGTCAAAGTTTTCTCAAAACTGGCACCAAGTTTGTTGATTTAACTATGACCTCAGATAGCATAAAGGATACTTAAGAGAATGATGCAGGTCTCGTGATCATTGAAATCTCCGATATTTTTGAAAATTGCACTATAGTAAAGTTTTTTGGAGGCATCTTCCTGCACCTACAATATAGAGGACAGAGATTTTTTTCCTTAATGTAATCTGTTCTTCAAAGACTGATCTTGAAATAAGGTCATGATTAATTTTTCGAAAATACAAGTAGTGTTCATGTAATTGTGCGCAAAATATAGGCAAATTAAACATTTTTTAAACAATGTTTTTCTCAAACTCTCCAAATTTTTTCCTTAAATTGTCTCTTCATATGTTTAAAGAGACAATATAAAAATTCAATGGTTGTCCCATTTTCGGTAAACTTTCCGTATTTTCAAAAATTGTAAACTTTAACATTTCAAAACTAGAAAATTAAAGATAGAGATTTTTTGCCTTAGAAAGTCTATTGTAAAAAATAAAAGTCTTGAAAATAGGCCATTTACAATTCTTTGAAGAAACTAGTAGTTTTCATGGAATTGAAATATTGGGTTAGCACGATTACAGTTTTTTAATGTTTGCCCGTGTTTCCTTAGCTTCAAGGTTAGGCTCATGGTGAGTTAACTCAGAAGAGCTAAGTTCAATTATTACTGGGAAAAAAGAAGAAAAAAAATTGCTGGTTGAAAATATTTTTGCAGGTTCATGTAATCGTATAATATAGCATAAGTTAGAAATAATGTGAGAAAGTATGTGCAGATGTAGCCCCACTAATTAATTTAAGAGAGATCATCACAACTTTGACTTTCTAAATAGAACAATTCAGCTCAAGATAATGAGAAACGAGTTAATACCATATGTTACATAAGAATATTTTTGAGCTTTTATGACCACACCAACTCATTGTTCTGCCATGTCCCTGGGAAAAAGCATTTCAAGTCCATTTTTCTGGTTGTGTTGGCATGGCAGGATGGAACATTCATGATAACAGAATGCAATTGTCACGTAACAAAACTAACAAAAATTATATCAGATAGCACTTAAGCATTTCATCATGTAATGACAGGAAATACAAAATATACGGAAGTTGAAAGACCCTAATCTATCAATAGAATGGCAATTGCTTAACTACAAACCAGGGTGAAGAGGAGGTTCTTAGCGACTTTGGAAGGCGAAGGGGGCTGAAAACACCAATTGAAGAAGAAAATGGATGTTGAAACTTCATGGTAGAGCTTTAGGTCCACACGCAAACACCTACAAAATACTGACAGCTGGATGTCTGGCATTATCTGAGCTTTCAAAGAAGATAAACTTACAAACACAACACACACAAAGTATTACGTGTGTCACTGTCATTGTCCTCTTCCTCCTTCTTCTTCAAGAGTCAAATTTGTGGTCCATATCCAATACTTTTCCCGTGTAGGTGAGGAAAGTAATAAGGCTGGGTTGGTTGGTAAAACCCTTGCAAGCCGGGGTGTAGGTTGGCACCGGATCTTGCCATCCAGCAGGGCTAGTTCACCCTCACCTTCAGTGAAAAGCATGCACTACACATATTGGACTAATGACCAGAGAGCTTTTCTTCAAAAAACCACTTTTTTCTCTTGGGGGCAGTATTGTTCGCTTCCTGAATTTTCAAGTACCTGCTTTCCTTTGGCTTTGCCAAAGGTTTGCTTCATGAAAGATACCTTTCATAATCCTTTTCATTTCTTAATTGTCATCAGCTTTAATTTTGGCCTTGCTGTGTTTATTTCTTAAGGCTGCAAAAATTTGTCAATTAGGTGTGACATAAAGAGAAAGTGTACAATTTTATTGTCAATCTGCCTATTCCAAAAACTTCAAAGAAGCTTCCTGTTTACTGAAGCAATTTAATTTTGAAATAAACATATGAAGCAACAAACAACTACTGCTTCACTAGTTGCATACTGTTACTTGCTCCACTGATTATCACAGCTACGTTCTTGCATACAGTCAGCCTAGAGCCCTTTTCCTGTGGCAATATTGCCTCCTTTGAGATTTGTAAATTACTTGGAGCTCTGGATTTTTGCAGGATATTAGAGGCACACATGTGGTAAAAACTCACTTTTCGCAAAAATTTAACATATCAGTTCTTGCATGCACCCTCAGAATTGTATGATGTGAAGATAAGTAAGGTTTTTGCCAATACTATTTTTTCAAAGTGCTACAATGGTTTCAACTCGTGCATTTTGGATTCATTTGCATCATTTCACCATATTCGTTAAATTTCACCCAAATTAAAAATAAAAGTAGTTATTTTTTTGTTTCACAATCCAATCAAAACTCTCTGAAAAGTGAACTATAATTGACTGATAAACAATGTCTTTTGAAATAAATGAATTGACCAACAGACATGTGTATGAAGACAAACGTTAAATAATGTTATTAACTGTGTCTATAAGTTCATAAAGCCTGCAATATGTTGCGCTTTGACAAAAAAAGGTATATACAACGTAGGACTGAATAGTTTTTACAGATCAAAACTTCAGTATTAAAACTTCTAATCTGTTTATATTCTGAAAAGATGTACTGTTTTAACTGTCACAGAATTTTAGTTCATTCATTTTAGATTAGAAGTCAGTTCGGTTGAGTTGAAACATTTTATTTATTTTTATCCATCATTCATCAAGAAAACAAGCACAGATTATACTTCACTCGGTCAGTTGTTTTGTAGTTTTTATGTATGTAAAATGTAATCAAGTTAATTTTGACTACACTTGCGAAATAATTAGCATTTAATAATGTAATGAAGTATTAGCAAGAGCCTGAGAGAGAAAAAATAAAAAAGTTCAGGCTCCACCTCACCAGTTGTGCAACTCTGGGATTGTGTCTCACTGTCCCCCCCCCCATCTTTTATACCCACTGGTTTTGTTTATCAAACATGACCATTACATTGTCCCATATGACTGTTACATTTACGCATTGTAAGCATTGTGCATTGTGGAGTGATACCTAACTTATGTGGAGCGGCTAAAGCTCTTATGTACCATTTCACATTAGATAGTTTAATTCTACAATGCACATTATGTATCGTGCATTAGCACAATGCTCATGTGCCAAGGCCCTTAGCTATTCCAAAGGTAACAAAATCTATGTACATTTAATATACTTGAAATACAAGTATTTCCTTCATCTCCACACAGGGAAATTGGAGCCACCCTATATCAATATTGTGCATTGTGCTAGGGTGTGAAACACTAGATACTTAATCCATCATGAGTTTTATTCAGGAGGGGCAGCCAAAATCTTACTATGTTGGGTAAACAATTTTTTGTTTTGTTCAATTGGCAACTGTAGGAACTTGAAACCAGATATAAACTATATGAAAGACAGGAAGCATAATTAAAATTACAATCTGTATTTAAGTTTTTAATGGAAGGAATTTATACTTACAATAAAAAAAAATATAATAAAAAAATTTCTAAACATTTCCATTATTCTATGAGGCATGTCATCACTTTCTTACTTCATGAATTACAAATAATATGTTAACAGTTGTGCAGGTCTGAAAGCTGGGACACTAGTCCATTAGTTTGAAGCATCACACATCTAAAGGGTTTATAAGCATGGACAAACTTTATTCTTATAAAGTCAATTGGAGAAAACCTCAAGCACCTATGAAAACAATTGATGGAATCTTAAACCATTTCTCAGAACAAATTTATATAAATAATTATTCAAAATTATTTTTGAATATAATTTTTAATGTGCTAATATCAATAACATTATGTACATAAGCATTCAATACAAAGTTTGCGGTGATAAAATATACATAATCATAAATAACATAACTTTTCAAATGATTTCTAAAAATAAATATCATCAGTAAATTTATGCTGCAACATCAAAGAACTGGTCGATCATTGTTGAAACTTGTTCAGGCGTGTACTTTATGTACTTTTCTGGATTTTTGGTAAACGACACTTTTGTAAACCTGAAAAGGGGGGGAAAAAAATCTATAACTATAAATAAATAGTTGAACAATCATCCAAAAACTAGGGCTTTTTCAATTTTTCTTAATTTTTAAACCACTGACAATTCTAATCAAAACTAAGCTTTTGGAATATCATACAAGAGCAACAAGTAGGTTGATACAAACTTTGAAGAAAAAAATTTGAAGCCAATTTTGAGAAAATTTAATTACTTTATGAATGCTTTTTAAGCAAGCTCAATGAATGTCAAAGCAATTTTTTGGGGCAAGGAAATTTCAAAGCAGTTCTATCCACATATTCGTTAAACTATGAAATATATCTATAATGTTAAGGACACACAAGTGGTTAAAAAATGTAGGTGTAATTGTAACAAATAAATACTTCAAAATGTAAGTTTTAATCAAATTACTCTTGTCAAATAGATCAGTGCATAGTGCTCTATCCAAAAATAAAGTTAATGAAAAGCAGCATCTGGAGCTACTTCAAAAAAATATTTGACTCGAAAACACATGAAAACTACAAGTATTTTGAAAAAACCAAATTGTACACAAAATGGTCTTATATTCTAATATTAAAGAATAGCTTGCTTTAACAAATAAATATTTAGCTTCAATAATGAAGATATAGGAGATCTGAACTTGTAGAAGCTGAAGAGCTGAAGAAAAAGAATTCAAGGCTCCACTTGTACCCCTTTATTCCCTACAGGTTTCCCACCTGTTCCTCATCATTTCCTTACCATTTCCTCTTTGTCCTTTTCCTGTTTGCAAAAATACACTACAAGGCAAAATAGATGAGAAAAGAGGGGAGGGAGAAGAATATTAAGAATGTTTGATGATCCAAGAAGTTGAAGAAGCTATTAACAAATGAAGGATTGAACTTTACAGGAAACATCCAGTCAAAATCTGTTATATGACATCCACAAAGTAAAAGAAGAATTAATAACACAACTTACTTTTCATAAAATGCATTATATTTTGGGCATATGAATTCTTTGTTATCTCGTTTTAAACTTTCCCGTAGTTCTACATCTGCTATGGAATAGCCATGTTGCACTTTAACAATTTCCTCCATTTCTTTGTTGAAACCCTGTAAAAGGTATTTAGTTTAAAATGTCAAGAATTTGAAAGGTCCACAGAAAAAACATTTACATTCACTGAACTTACAGCAAACTTTTCTTTTATGATGCTCCTGTCTTTATCGCGCATTTTAGATGCACTGAAATTCGCTAATTGTGGGTCATCTAATGGCCAGATGTTACTTAGCACTTTGCCCCAACTGCAATAAAAGAAGGGTTTTCATTGAAATTGAGTAAATTAATCTAACACAACAACAAGTTATTTTTATTACTAAAGGTGTGGAATGATTTATGCACAATCAAGATTGTAAATGATTTTGTTGAGACTAATAGGTCAAGGTGAAAAGATTGTGTAACAAAGGACTATGATTAAACAGTGGGGTTAAAAGAGAGAAAAGTTAAGAGAAGCTCAAAACCAAAACACACTTGGGATGTCCTGTTTCACACAAGACAAGGTAGTTGATGTTTTTTTAGATCTTGTCCTGATTAGCAAAAGTTACACTGTGAGGACATGCACTAGCCCTGACAGTGTAATTTTTAATTTGCACAAGTGATGTGTATCATATTTCTTCACTCATACAATGTGTTTTTTGATGTAATTATTTTTTGTGAAGCTATAGAGACAATACTTGCGTCTATGCATTTAAAGCCTAAAATAGAAACCCATTCATGAAAGCATAATTTAGTAGTTGAAAGTAGAAACTAAACGTGTTATGATTGACAAAAAAATTTTATTCCATCTTATTTTAAAAATTAAATTAATATTTTTAAAATCTAAAAGTTAACTTACATGATTCATAAGAGAATCTGATTCTTGAAAATCTAATTCTCAAAATATTATTCACAGTTTGCCCCCATTTTGTATAAAAGTGTTTTGTATATAATTATGCACCCCCAGCTATTTAACCTTTCATTTAGGATCTGATAAATAGCTCCAAGTCAATATTCCAAAAAGAAATAACATGGTAGCAAGAAAGTAAAACTGGAAAGAACGAATGTGTGACTTGTTAGAATTCTTGTAATACTGCATTAAGTGGCCCAAGTTGATAATTCGAAATGAAATAAAAGTTACTTTTATGGATGATTTTGACAGAAATGTGACTATTTTAACTAATGCAGGATTCTTCTTAATGTAGGTAATGGTCACAGCATTAAATTATAGATATTTCCAATTGTGTGTTTTTAAGTTGATCTAAAGTAATTTTAACTGTGTCAGTTTCAAAGCAAAAAAAATTAAAATTGATTGGCAGGTTCTATTACATTACTTTCTAATGTGAATAAACTGTAATAGCCAAAAACATTTTCTGCATGTGTCCAGTGAATCGAAATGCCACAAAATAAAGTCAGTGATCTGTACATTCTTCTACAGAACTGTCATACACTGTTCAAGTGAAACTCTGCTCTATTGCTAATGTGAAAAATTGCTACAGTCATTAAAGAGGTAACTCTCCATCCATGTTTCAAAGCAGTTTACACCATCGCTTACAGACAACTGATATTTAAAAAGTCTGAAATTGACGTAAAATATAGCCGCTTCCTAAATTAGGGTATAGCAGTACTAATGACTATCAAACATGGTTCTTCAAATAAATTTGACCAGATATCAAATGTGTTCTCATTGAAGTCCTAAAATAATTAAAACTTAATAATATAAACCACTGCTAAAGGAAACACCATAACCTTGTACAAATTTAGGGCTTTCATCTAGAACTGTGCAACATTATTTAACAATGAATACATGTAGTATCCAATATACCACCAACTGTGTATAATCTTATTCCATGCTCTTCACTTTTTAAATTTTTCTTGTGTAGTTGTTGATGAATTGTTTTGGAATTTTAGTACTTTACAAAATAACTCACCAATAAGTTTGCATATAATATATACTTTTAACGAATCAATTACCTTTGAGTATATGCATCTTTATTATCATTTATCATTTTATGATAAGTAGATTCGAAATTCGGTTTAGATAATTGCACATGATGAACCAATTCTGATCGCTGTAAAGCCTTTAAAACATGATAATTATTGTTAAGGCGAAATACAGCTCGAAGATAGACATCACTATAAAATTCACTTTTATTACACAAAGTCTGGTTCAGTTCCATTAATACTTTTTCTGTAAGTAAAGACAATTTTACATTCATAAAACAGGTTTGAATAAATTGATGCTATCAGTATTTTACTAAATTTAAAAATCAACTCACGTATGTACATTCCCAATAAAATTTTATTTTTATCTGTTCTTCCATATCCACCAGGTAACTGCCCTAATGCATTGTTATATTCCAAGTTCTGAGCTAGGACACCTCCAATTGTATCAGTGAAATCAAGTAATTGCTCCAGAAAAACAAGTACATTGCTCGTCAGTTCATGAACTGTACCATCTTTGGGAAGTTGAGTGCTTGGATCAGAACGAATGCTTTCAATAAAATCGTCAAGAGCTTTTGCTGCCTGCAATCAAGTATTTCATGATAACATGATCATTCTCACATAGTTTCCCAATTGAAAAAAATAATGAACTTACTGTTCCATGTAGAGTATTATGAATAGAAGAAAATTTTGATGTAACAGTTTCACTGCATCCCTTCACGATTTTATCAAACTCAGGTCGCATAGATTGAAGATGCTTCAAAATGGGGAATACTACCAGAACAGCTGCAAATTCATGACGATTGATACATCTTTTAGCTCGAGCAGCAATACTCTGAAAATATTAAAAATACAAACATACTCATTTTATAGTAATGTCCTCAAAATTCCTTTTCTTGAATAAGTAAACATGTTTTAAAAATTTTATAAGGCAAATATCAACAAAAGATGCGTTTTTCTTGAATCCAATAACACAGACCAGAAGAAAAATTTTGTTTCACTCTTCACTGCACTTTTGTCACACTAGTAGCAAGATAGAAATTGGAGATTTTTTTCATTTTGGGGACATTCGCCAGTATTGGCATGACATCTAGTAGTAAACTTCGAAAGTTTTCATAGCACCCCATTTGGTTTTGCAGTTTGAGTGAATGGGGGTTAGATAGTCATGGAGATTGAATTTACAAAACACGGAAACACTAAGTAGGCTTCTCCAAATTGATTTTGTTTGGTTGCTCTGCAACTTTGGAAATCTGACATATAAATGTAATTGTTACTACAAAATGATAGGTAATCCAAATGCAATAGATTGTTGACTCTTCACGAAATGCAAAAGGAACCCAGTGGACGTAATTTCCAATCCATGCTATTGGAATCAAAATATACAGTGTGCCTACCTACACAACTATAATATAAGAGGAACTAAATTGGCTTCCTCCATGGGATGTGGCAACAATGGCAAATAGCACAAAATTTCACCCGGTGGACTCTTGAGGAGTATCATAAAAAAATCACTAATAAAGGGACACTCTCCCTTTTATGATGCCCCCCCCCCTCCCCCCCAATTTTACATGCCAGACACACCCATAACAACAAAACTTTTCAAATTAATAGAGATCGAATGAGAGATTATCATAGTACCAATTAAATGATCAATGATTAAACAGTGATTGCACAGTACTGCATTCATTATCTTAATATGGACAAATAGAATTAAAACATATAATTTGACTGACTGTGAGTTATTAAAGAGAATTGTCTCTAATACCTTCTTATAGTATTACAGCATTCCTTACCTCACCATCTTGTACCACCATATTAAGAGCATCTCTGATTAATATTTCAAATGCTCTTGGCTGCAAATCCAAAGGAACAATGCCCAACATGAGATGTCTCTCACTCTGCATTAGCTTTTGTAGTGCCATCACACACACAAGATAATTGTCCATTTCTTGCTCATCTACCGCATCATCTCTAGATTCAGCTGCTATAATGAGTAAAACACATTCATGACTAGTCAGTAGATTTTACTACATTTACAGTAATTTATTCATGACCAAACAATTTGCAAAAAAAATTTTCAAAACTAAAAGCAGAGGATTTATGATGTATTATAAGTTATATTTTTCATTAAACTGGTAGTAGGCATATTTCAGTAACTTGTGTTGTTCATATCGATTCATATTTTGATATTATTGCCTTTCTGAGGACTCTTACTCTACTCTTTTTCCTTAGCTTCTAATCGCTAGAGAAATAAGTTTCTTCCAGACGCAAGTGTCACATAACAATATGGGGACTGAGCAGATGTTGTTATTTTAAAATACAGTGTTGTTGAATGACATCAAATGATTTCCATAGCAAGTAAGCGTCTGATTAACTGAATCATAAAAACAACAATCAGTGGCGTTGTGATTCATTTACTGGAAGAATTGGTTGTGGCAAGTGGAGGGAGAGTGAGTGGTTGAGAGGCTTGCAAAAGAGAACATAAAATTAATCCATTCAGTTGAACTGCAAATATTGCCATTGTAACGCTGTTCAGAAATCAGTCAAATTGCATTATTTGAATGATTGAAAAAGCATTATTTTGAGTAAAGCTGGGAGTTACAGGTGAGACTTTCATCTTGATGGCAAGGAATAAGTATGGCAGAAGCATCTTGCAATGAATTCGGGGGACACCATTTCATCAACAATTGTAAAAATTATTTTATGTGAAGCCTGAAACATTCGAAGCTAAGGTTAAAATATTTTTGAAAGAAATTGCTTTTGAATCCTTTCTCAAGTACACATTTGATTGATTTGCAAATTTTAGTATAGGCATTCTGAGTTTTTTGTGATGAGAAATTTCAAATTATACAACACATCAAAACAGTGGTACACATGAAAAATGTATCAAAAGCAATAATAAAGAAACAAATGCCCTGAGAGACATACATGGCAACAACAAAGCAACTGCAGGTTGGGGGGTGAGGGTAGTAACATTTCTCCTTACATATATTATGAAAAATGTAGTAATTTTTTTGACATCATTTAGTTAAAAAAAACAACTTAGTAACACAATATATTCAAAATTTTCTACAAAACTACTGTCGGATATTCCAGATGAATCTACACTGGGAAAAGTTCACCTGTTACCTCTGCACAATGAAGGACTTGAATCTTCAGAGGAGATAAAAATAAATGAAATAAATTCATGACAAATAATTTATTGGTAATACAATCCTATTGTATGCACATTTCACGTATTTTTAGTGCATAAATCCATGCATATTTTGGCAATTCTAAGTGAATACAAGTACATTCTCTACTGATGAGACACAATAGACCAAAATATTCACTAGTGAGAGGACTTCCAAAGAATGATGACACAGAATCAACTTCTTGAGTTCTTTTGCAATCAGGGAACACAGAGTAAAGTGGAAAACGAAAAATACACGGAAACAACAAAGGCATATGAAATGTATCAAAAGCAAAAAAAATATTACAAAATTCCTAGTAACTTTTTAGATTAAAGATAGTCAAGTTATTTTATTGTTATTGCTGAAGCATACATACCCAATAGAATGCCTGACCTCCGACTGCCCAGGGTCAATCCAGTGGAATGTTCCAAAGTTTGAGATGCTCTCAATAACATTTTATTTGCTTTCTTTTCAAAACTGGAAGGCCAATTTAAATAAAGTTATTTTCTTTTTAATTCTAACAAATTCAAAACACAGTTTTACCATGAAATACTTACACATGCTGCAATCTTTTAGAAGCTCGTCGATTAGGTGTTTCATGTCTGAATTTTGATCTCTGCAACAGTTCAACAACAATCTTCTGAAGAATCTCAGGTAGAATTTTATAAATAAATTGATACTCATGAGATTAATAAAGAAATTGTTCAAAAAGATGGAACGGATTAAATAATTGCCAAGTTGGATAAAAAGTTCACATTTGCCCTAGATAAGATATATTTAATTGCTCATTTAATCAAATAATTATTGCTTCTTGGCATAAAACTGTATTAGTTTAAAAATGTATGAACTCTTATAATTTAAGTTGGTTGATCAATACCTTATTGAGTTTTGAAATGCATTCATGAAATACAAAATTATACATTTATTATTACATACGATTTTACCAAAGTACACTGTTTACCCACGCCACACACACTCCCTGGATGCTTGTCTTCACCTGCACTCTGAGTTGTGCCCCTCCCCGCACAGTCGTGGGGATCGTCCATAAATGACACAATGCTAAAGAGGTGGAGGGGGTTTGAGGCAGCCTTACGCTGTGTTACATAGAGGTAGGGGTATAAGTTTATTGTTACTAACATTGATTCGTTTTGTTTTTAATTTGTCAACATTTGTTGAAAGAATTCCTTTATTTGAGTCTTATACTGAAACATTTCAATATTAAGTAATTATTTTGTTTTAAAAAGAAATTAATGAAATTTTTTAGTTGTAAAATGTTGCAATTTTCTTTACTTTGTAAAATGATACAATCTCCTTGCTTTGAATAGCCTTCTTGGCTACATTGCCAAGCTACCAGAGGCCGATATTATGTATATGCATATGATATGCATACGTGCATATGTAGCCAGCAGTTATGTCTTTAATAACAAAGCATAGTCTGCAAATATTTCAGAATCCCTCAGCAAATGAATTCATATTGTACAAAAGTCAAATGATGAAAATCTTTTGAGTAAATGATTACATTGTTTTTGCATATGAAAAGAATGTTAATTTTGCATTTCCAGCCATTTACTCTGTTATAAAGCCAAATAAAAACAACGTAAACTACATTGCAGCCAAACTACTTAGTATATGCATTTAAAAATAGTGCAGGCAAATGATACTTTGAAACCAATATTTCTTTATAAACTACAACATACTTCTTCAGAGGAAGATTATTTACATTTTATAATGATATTTATTAATATATCTTTGAAAAACGCTAAATCAGCTACACTGTATTTCTGCGCTATTAGAGCTACTAAATTATAAAATAAGCAACACAACTGAAGCAATGTAACCATCAGCAGCATTGCCGATAAATATAAAATAAAAGAAAATGTCTACTGCCACAACACGAATCACAATTACTTACTACCATTGGGGAATTAGCTGCATTGATGCCTTGAACACTGCCTCCACTTGATGATCTTTGATGTTCTTTCAAATTTTGAAGCGATTTATGTAGTACATTACCACGCAAAGTTGCATACACATTAATATATTCATCACGATTATTTATTATTAGCCATTCTGCAATGCGCTGTAACTCTAAACAGACATAGTCTGGTAGATGATTGAGAGAGGCTGAGTGATCTTCCATAGGTGTTTCTATAAAATCAATACTTGCATTAATTTTCATTTATTTTATCAATTTCTTAATGATCATTGAGCATTTTTATAAGACAAATTTATCAATGATTTATTAGTCACTTGTTCCTGTTTCTCAATAGATTTGATGGGTTTTTTACAGCTCCTGAATGTTCCTAATAATCCTTTTTCATGTGATGGTGATCCAAGATATTAAGTCTAAGATTTTAGGCCATTGGTTGAAATGCAATAAATGACTGATGCAGTACAAAAATGCTTCATTTATTGAACAATATGAATCTCTTAGCACTTACCTTCATCTGGACTGACTAAATCCAATAACATAACAGGAGGAACAGGTTTGTTATGTCGTTGAAGAAGTTCTTTAAACTCTCGATTAAGGGCATCACCTCCAGAATTAAATAATGTTCTCTGCACAAAGCAATAAATATGTAATTCATTTTTCTTCTTGTCTTTTAACTTGACTATAAAAACAACCACAAAGTACTATTACTGTTTACATCTTACCACATTATCAAGTTCAACACTTTCAGAATTGTGGGTCTGAAAGTACTCCATAGCTGCTTGAAGTTTGTTCATTGCTTGTAAGAAAGGTTCCAAGCAAGAATCCCCATTTGGGTTCAATCCAGGTCCAGCACGAATGACTGGTTCCACTTCTTGACTCACACCATAAAACGCAATAACATGGTCTAAAGCTTTTAAAGTATGTTCAATATCTAGTAAAAAGTCAAGAAAACATTCATCAATATGATTTGCTTTGCAATCAACTGATTGGATAAATTAACGCTTGCATTCAAAGATGAATATAGAAGGATACGTTCTTGTCGTTTCTGTAAGTTCCCTGTTTGGTTATAGACAGGAAGAATGGTCTCTTCCAGTCGAGCCAAGCGATGTTCAAAAGAAGACAAAATATTCACCATATTCTTAGTTAACTGATTACTTTTATTCACTTTCTCCTTGAGCAAATTGAGGTTGCTCAGTTCCTGTAAAGAAATTGACATTAATAAATTAAAAGACTGACCTCCTAAAAAAACTGTTAAATTCATCCAAATAACCACACAGTGCATTATCATTTCATTATTATGAATGTTATATTGCGGGTACGTCACCTTCTCCAATTTACTCTCTATTTCTACTTTTCTCTCGTTTGGCTCGTACATTTTGAGTATGATTACAGAGCAAATGTTAATAAAAATTCAAATGTGACGGGCAATATTGCCCTTCATTAACTCCACAGTTAGAAATACAACTTAACCTCAATGAATGACACTTCATCACTTCTTTCGATGTTGCTAACCTCGCCAACCACCCACACAGTCACATTTCACGTTGGTGCCACTGGACTGGCCAAGAAGGCAAGAAGTTTAACACTGGTGCAGACTGCAGACACCAAGGAGGTTTGATATTTGAGTTATTCGGGATATACCTAATGTCCCTCAAACGACATATATAATATATTATAGGGAGGTTATTTAAAGGTGTTTCAATTAATACTTTGGACTTAAACATTACGTTTTTATTTCCTCCCCTAAAGAATTATCAAAATATTGATTTATTATGGTTCAAATTGGATTTTTGATACATTTAAGGTATTATAGGGGCCGTCTATTGTCACAATGATAAGCACGAAAAAATATATAAAAACAATTGTGCAAAAACTGAATTATTTAAAATAAATAAACAAATATGCAAAACTGGATTCAAGTATTTGAAATTGAACTTTTATTTTTGCAAGTGTTAGAAATAGGGTCAAATAAGAGTAAAATTATCTTTTTTTTTTTTAATTAAAAACAAAATCACAGCAAGAAGAAAGTTTGGGACGTGTAGGGTACGAAAACACGGTTTGTTATTTCTTTATCATGATCAGAAAAGATAACATCTGTCAAGGTCAAAGGTCAAGAGGTCTGCATTTTCCGCGATTTTACCGGCCCGCGCTCGCTCGCCCCTCTTTCTCTCAGGACCATGAGATCGAGCGTCCGTGGCAGCCAGTTGCGGGTTCTTGGTTGCCGATGACCAGCCTAGACCTTCGAACGGGTCGGGTGCCGATAACCAGCGGACTCCATGCCGGCGAACTGCGCCTCGCAAAATAGCCTTCACGTCGGAGTAAATATCGGATGTTATGTTCCAGAAAAAGGAAGGAGTATTGATTGATTGTTAAAATAAACGACCAAGAATTTCCATTTTACAAAATTTAATTTACTAATGAATTATTACATATATACAATTTTTTATATTTAAAATTATTTACGACTCCGGAATTCGACTCCCCGACGCTCTGGAGAACCTGAAGTGGAAATATTGGAGTTCTACCTGGGAATTAAAAGAAAAGGGTATTCACGTTCTTCAGATAAACTTCGTTCTTTGTCATGACTAGACATCGGATGTTTAGGAAGTTGCCCGTTTTATTCTAATGAAATTATTTTGAAAGGCTGTTGGTTAAGAATAGTAACAGTTGTCAATGGCTTTGTGAGCAATCCACAAATAAAATAGATACTGAAAATAGATACTGATATATCACATATTGTTTTTGAAAACATCGATATTTCTGTACAAATATATCAATTAGAAGAAAAAATCGAAATGGAACAAACCTTGTTAGTGATTCAACTAATAAGATCATTATTCCCGTAAGTGTGTTGCATGTTTTTGCTCGGGAGGTGTCTTCCCCCGCTGTATGGCGAGATACGGCCCCGACCTACCGTCGGCTAACTGGGTTTTCCAAACCAGGTATCTCCCACCAGCAGGACATTGCCTCGGCCGGGACAAGTTCTAAGCTCCCGACCGGTCACCCAGCATATGTGGTAGAGTAGTGCATGTTAGTGTAAGCGTATGTAAGGGGCGAGGATAGGAAAAGGAAGAGGCAAAAAAAAATTGCGCGCGGTCTGTTTGTTACGATACTGCACCGGCACTCGCCTGGTGTTGATAGGAGAAACAATGGAAAACTACCTATCAGAGCAGCCGCTAGAATTCTCCTCCAGACAGCGACTGAATTCGACATAGCTGACAAGCTAGTGTCGAAAATCCCGCCACCGTCGGGACTCGAAACTAGGACCTCCGGGCCAGAGGGGCTGCAAGTGAGTGCAATGACATCAGTTGTTGCCGTGAGACATCTCTCTCGGTTTATAATAATATCGATGTTTCTGCTCTAAAATATCGATGTTTTAAAATCATCGATGATTGTTTTTTAACCTCCCTAACCCGAAATGACGCGCAGCAAGTCCTTCGCCGTCGGAACCGTGACCGCCGTGGCCTCGATGAGCTGTAGCGGAGGTAACAGTTATGGAATGCGCGATTATCGCGACTCACTAGAACTGCAGTTCCGCCGCTCGGATTTACGTTCGGGAGAAACGAAACAAAGAAAGCGAGGCAATGATAAACGATGTTTCAGTCGCAGATGTGACTCGCCCAGCAACAAAACAGAAATGTGCTTTGCGGCGAATGCAACTAACTCCGCCTGTTTGTTCCGGCAAACAATGTCCTTTCAGTTCCAAAAGACAGTGGAGAAGCGAGCTAGAGCGGTTGAAACTGAATTGAACGAAGCTGTGTTGGCCATCATGGCATGGAGGGGGCTCCTCCGCGTGGAGAAGCAGCAGTCGCGTGATTTACTGTTTCTAGGTTCAGCTTCGGCCACTCGTTCGGGGACGGCCGGGGACAAAACGGGTAATTGACCGTATAGCTTTGAAAATTTCAATGTCGTTTAAGGCGAGACCTTCCGTGGCCGATTTAACGAACAGGAGCTGGTCGTGGGCGGCGTGGGAGTCAAGGAAATGCATTCCCTGCACGCGTTCCTGCTATTCTTCAGACGTTGGAATGGGGCGGGTTGGTGATGGGGCGTCAGTGGGAGGCGACGGCGAGAATGGTGACGGCGGGAGGCGGCGTGGGGCAGCGAGGGGGCTGCAAAGGGATGGGCAAGGGGCTGGGCGAAGGGTGGGAGGCGAGGGTGAGAGGGGCGGCGAGGGGGAGTGGTGAAGGGATGTAGGCGAGGGCGAAAGGGATGTGGCGGGGCGTGGCGGGGCGTGGCGGGGCCGTGGGCGGGGTCTGCTGCGAGGAAGGGTTAGAGCGGCGCGGTGCTGCTTGGCCCCGCGAGGGCTTGCGCATTGCCACAGCGTCCGTGCTCGTAGAGCGGCTGCGTTGGATGCGGGCCCAACAGCGCTCCTCTCGCCGCCTCTGCGCCTCGTCCCTGAAACATGGGCGCAGGTACTCGGGGCAGATGTACCCGCGCCGTTAGATGTCGCCGTCGTTGCAGTTCACGTTGCGACGGCCCTCCACAGGCGACACTGTACCGATCTGTTCGGCGGCCGAAACCTCTCCACCGAGATGGTCAACCGATGGTGGCCGATAGTGCCGTATATAGTCTGGTGGCCGATGCCCTTCCACCGAGATGGAGCTGCTTGTGCGCCCCCGTATGCCGCTGCTGTGACCTCCCGCAGCCGTCGCCACCACTTCCGCTTCACATCGGGGTATGGAAATCGCTGGCGCTAGCCCTTCCTATTTTCCGACCTTGAAAAGTACCTATACTGCTTTGAGATTGACAGTTACCGAGCACATGGCGCGCTGTTGCCAAACGTACAAGCGCGCAATGTCTACCCCCTTCGCTACAGCTTTTCACGGCACTTCAACAACGACGCGACACTGCGACCTTCATAGGAAATCCTACTCATCATTTACAATCTACCAGGGCGGGTGTTTCATTCGGGTCCGAGGCTGGGCGCGGCGTTCACGCTCGTAACTAAATCGTGTTTTTGGCCGTGCACGTGGCGATGTATACAATTCACGGGCAACGCGAGTCGGCGGATGCTGGCATCCGATTGGCCAAGTGCATGCCGTCGCCAAGGAAACGTAGAGACGCCGCCGAACTGTCAAAACCAATCCCTCATCCCCCTACACTTTTACTCTTTGGTCTTAAAAAGGACTGATGTTCCTTCGGAGCCTGGAGCTTTTCCAGGTTATCTTCCCTCATCTACCGAACGCGAATCCAACACAAATGCCGCGGAATGGACAGAACCGGCTCGAAATAGTTCCCATAAGCACCGCAATGGAACTGCAGAGTTCTGGCTGCTAGGATTTAATTTTATTTACTTCTGACCACAGAGTAATAAATATGATACACCTTTAATTAAAATTTAATTAATTATTTAAATTATTAATTAAATTAATATACATCTAACTGTGCTTCTGACTCTCAATCACCAGGACGCAGTCAATGGCTCGGGAGCTTAAATTTACGACTTAATTTTTTGTTATTGTATCTATTGGAAAATCGTGTTCCCGTTGCTTACACCTCAGAAATTAAATTGGAAAATATATACTCTCTGTCTAGTAGCACGATCTCACGTCAGGTCAATCACTCACTGTTTAGTCGTCTGAATATTGAATTAGAGGTAGGTGCCTATGTATTTTTTAAAGTTGTGTATTCAGTTTTAATTTAACAACTCTCAGGTCAAGGATTTTATTATACAGGTGCGTTTGGAGAATTTGTTTGAGCTTGAGAGTCCAGTAGTAATTTTATATTTCTCAGAGATCTTTTGCATTCTGTCACATGATGGTGGGAAATCAAGTGACACGAGTCTCTTCTTGTATTTTTCATAACTGTTTATATACAATTAGACTATAATGAGCAACAAAAAGGGAAGTAATATTAATTTTAACAATAATTTTTAGTGTATTAATGTTTTGGAGCTGTAAAATTCTAAACAATCGTAGCAAGTATTGTACCTCAGGTTCTGGGTCAATGAATCCTATCTTGATCAGATTTTTCGTCCAGTTTCCCTAATCCATTGAGAGAAGGCCCCTTGCCTTGCTTCTGGGCGCAAATGTAACTTCATTATCTGAGCACGTTTTCCAGGCTTCAGTGGGAAATTGGTAGCCAAATTATCGTTCTCCATGTTGTCGCGGCAGGATGTCGTGTCCTTCACGAAGGCCACGATGAAGGACAAGAGCCCAAATCCATGGCAGATTTGCCTTTGCAAACACCTTTAACCGAGGGAATATTTTCTTATCAATTCCTGACAAAACGCTCATTTCTCTTTGTATTCAGAATTAAACTTGTATATGGCTTAGGGTAGAGATCCCAGAATTAAGAAAACGTGCACAGAATACACTTCTCCCCGTATCACGTCATTTTTTAACAGTGTTTTGACGTTAAAATTAAATTTAATAATTCTCCATTAATATGAGTGCCTTGCATATGTATGACACCTATTGGAAAACCGAACTCGGTATTTCGGTGCTAAAAAATATTAAAAATTCAGAAAATATTAAATTACATAAATGAGCAAGTGTGTGTACATTTTTAGTGGTAAATTAGCTCTTCTTTAGCTTTTTTGTACAACTTCACACGATTTTAGAACGAATCAACAGCTTGAGGCAGCAGTCCTTCGTAACCTGGTACCAAAGCGCTTGGAATTCGACCTTCAACTCATTGACATTCTTCAGTTTTCTTTTTGCCAATTGGTT